CTTTGGGAGACTGAGGCGGGTGGATCACTTGAGGCCAGGAGTTTGAGACCAGCCTGACCAACATGGTGAAACCCCATCTCTACTAAAAATACAAAAATTAGCCAGGTGTCGTGGTGTATGCCTGTAGTCCCAGCTGCTCTACTTGGGAGGCCAAGGCAGGAGAATCGCTTGAGCCTGGGAGGCGGAGGCTGCAGTGAGCCAAGATGGCACCACTGCATTCCAACCTGGGTGACAGAGCCAGATCCTGTCTTTAAAAAAAACCAAAGAATTGTCAATAACATGTAGTATAATATTTGGGGATCAGGCGATACCTAATTTATTCATATTGGTGGACAGATCAGTATGAATATTAGGGTCGAACATTTTGATAAAATAGTACAATACTTTCTCTGAATATATTCTGTGATATACTAACTTGTACATATTTAATTTCTGTGCATGCAGCTGAATGATAAAGAAGAAGCTTTGGCTCATCAAAGAAAAGTTAGTTACATGCTTGCTCGGGCATTAGAAGACAAAGACACTGCCTCAAAAGAGAATGAAGAAAAAAATCCTATGAAAGAGAATTTCCCTTTCAACAACGCTTGGCATAAGACTTCAGAATTGTCTGTTTTAGGTGATGCTGTACATTCAAGTATTCACATTTTAAATTCTATGGGCTGCATGTGTTCAATCCAGCACTCTCAAATAGATACAAACTACAGAACTCTGAAAAGATCCCATTCTTTGCCATCAAGTATCATATTTTAAAGACAAGCCAGTTGAAATTAATTAGAACTGAGTTATTTATATTAAGAGACTCTGAAAAAGGATTGGGTAAATGATGCTGCATCTTGAGAAGTTGTATGTTTCCTAGGTATTTCTAAATTTTAGGAGGTAGTTTAAATATTTTCTACATTTTTTCTTTTGTTTTTTTTGAAATGGAGTCACACTGTGTCGCCCAGGCTGGAGTGCAGTGGCATGCTCTTGGTTCACTGCAACTTCTGCCTCCCGGTTCAAGCAATTCTGCTTCAGCCTCCTGAGTAGCTGGGATTATAGGCGCGTGCCACTGTACCTGGCTAATTTTTGTATTTTTAGTAGAGATGGGGTTTTACCATATTGGCCAGGCTGGTCTCAAATGCCTGACAAGTGATCCGCCCGCCTTGGCCTCCCAAAGTGTTGGGATTACAGGTATGAGCCACCGCACCCAACCTATTTTCTACATTTTCTATAAGAAATTTATTAGTATTGACATTTTATTTAAATTACATTACAGGCCAGGTGTGGTAGCTCACGCCTGTAATTTTAGCACTTTGGGAGGCCGAGGCTGGTGGATCACCTGAGGTTGGGAGTTCAAGACCAGCCTGATTAACATGGAGAAACCCAGTCTCTACTAAAAATAAAAATATC